GACCTTGCAGGCAGCAGACCAGTGTGTAGCTTCTACACCATCGGGGCTCCTTTTAGAGACCCCAGTGGATGAGTAAAGGATGATAAAGGCTGGGCCACCTGCTCGTGGGGTTTGACTCGTTCCCTGGGACCCTGTTCCTTCTCAGTCCTGCATGTGCTACTCCATCTTCCAACGGGTGACCGGAGGCAGTTCAGAGCTTCCCTGGACGCCTCGTGGTCATCCAAGCCCCGGCGCCTTCAGAATTCCGTTTCACCAGCTCTAGGATCTGGTTTATATTTAACGTCCCAAGACGGAGGAGCTGCCTTCGCATCCACAATACGGTGTGGAATGGGTGGAAGCAAGCAGGAAAGTTCTGCCCCTGCCTTTCAAACCCTGTCCTGGAGACCCTGGACTCATTTGCTCTCATATCCCATGGATCAGTGTTTAGTTCCCCAAAATTCGTTGCTGCCAATTTGATCCCGACTCTCGGTGACCCCGTGTGTCAGAGTAGAACTGTGCCTGAGGGCTCACCGGCTGCTGCTTCACCGCGAGACTGCCAGGCCTTTCTTCTCTTGTGCCTCTGGCTGGATGCGAACCTCTAGCCTTTGGATGACCAGCCATGTGTGTCAGCCCGGTGACTCCCTCATGGCTTCAAACAGTTACAGGCTGGGATGTTGTTGTTGTTGTTGTTGTTGTTAGGTGCCGTTGAGTCGGTTCTGACCCATAGTGACCCTGCGTACCAACAGAACAAAGCACAGCCCGGTCCTGGGCCAGCCTCTCAATGGTTCCTGTGCTGGAGGCCGCTGTTGCAGCCACTGAGCCGATCCATCTCCTCCACTGCCCCTCTGCTCGACCGACCATGATGTCCTTCTCCAGGGACCGGCCTCTCCTGACAACATGTCCAAAGTGCGCGAGATGAAGTCTCTTCGCCCTCACCTCTGAGGTCAACACTCTGGCTGGGACACACAGACTGTGCTTTTGTGTGGCTGTGTTCCCAGGAAGGTCTCCGTGATTGTGTTCTTTTAAAAGAGGGGAGGGGAGGCATATACGTTGGGATTGTCTCTGTCAGGGGCACAGATAGCAAAGAGAAAATGGCAATGCTTGGATGACATGTTGCAAAATAATAAACCGGAGGAGGATTCCAGCTGTGGGGAGCCAATCCTTGTTAGGCTTCACTTCTTCTACTTGCCCAGACACCTAGCGCCCCACTTCCATTTCCTGTTTTCGCTGAAAAGGTCCTGTGTCCACCAGTGCCCCCACAGCCTGGCAGGTCTGTGGCCCAGAGGGCTCCTGTGCTGCCTGTGGGCTCAGAGCGGTTCCCATTCATCCTGCGCGTACTCAGTTCTCCGGGCACCAGACACATTTGATACTGAAGCTTTATGCATCAACCTTTGCTGACATGTTTTGGTTTGCTAAACTTGAAACACCAATTTCCTGAGGATTCAGGAGAAGCGCACTAGTGAGTTCAGAGGAAAGAACCAGGGTTCCAAGTAGGAGACATAGGTTAACAGACAATGGTTCTCTGCGAGCTGCTGGGACTGTCGTGGTGTTAGGTGTTTCCAAGTCCTTTTCTGTCTATACCTGGGATTTTCAGGTCTATCTTTATCCACATCAATGCCGAAAGCTTTGGGTGGGTAGGCGGCAAGGGAGCGAGGATGGGGGGGAAACTTCTAGAAGTCGAACATTATCCTTGGTGCTATAGAAAATACAAAGGGAGCTCTGTTCTGGATTGCAGGAGGACCCCCAATGGTAAAGACAATGGTTTAGTCAGGGTCGACTAGGTTAGGCTGCAGTAACAAGTACATGGGGACATTACAGGGACTTCACAGAACCAATAGCCATTTCTTATCCCTCTTTCAGTTCTGATGCAGGTCTGTTGGCCATTCTCCATCGGATAAGGCTGCCATCTGGAATTGTGTCCTTCCAGGTGGCCACAGACAGGGAAGGGAGGATGGAGAGCATGCAGATGCCTTTAAAGACCAGGTCTAGAATTTCCCTGCAACCCCTCTGCCATGCGGAACAGGCCCAAGTTCAGTCCCGCGGGAGGGAACGAATGACGGATCCACGGAGGCTGGAAGCCGAGTCTCCTGTGTGGCCAATAATAAGATGAGCTCAGGAGAAGGTGTCTGTCACACTTCCCATGTTTATTCTCATGGTATCATCGCTGAGTTGGCCCCTCAGCAGTACCTTCAAGTGGCTGGTCCATCATCCTATCAGATCAGGAGTTTGGGGGGAGGGTGCTATGTGGGAGGACCTGGGGGTGCTACGGCCTTTTACCAATGCCCCGCTTTCTTTGCCGTGGACTTGTCCTTGGTTCCACGATCCTGTGTGGTGCATCGGGCTCTTCCGTGGTCTGTGTTTAAGATCATAGCTAGTTTATGCTTTCTGGTGTTTGGGGTTTTGCGTCTCAGCTGTCTTACATATGAAATACAGTGTCAACTGTTTGGGTTAACGTGGAGTGCTTGGCTTCCAGCTACTCACTCCACGTGAATTCTTCTTCCTTCCTTCAGAGGACATGCACAATCAAGTGTCAAATGTGAACAGCAAGGGACCAGGAGTCTAGGAAGTTGGGAGGGGCAGGGAGAGAGTTGGGAAGACCAGGATGAGAGGTGGGCGACCTACAGAAGCTGCGGTTGATACTCTCCTGTTCCCAGGGGCTTGATTTGAGTAAGATGCGATGTGGGTGGGACAAAGGAGAAGCCAGCACAGAAAGAGACCCTGGAAGGAGCGAGACACATGCTCATAGGAGGGGCAGTTGTTCGTTGTTAAACACCACAGAGTGAGTTCCAACACTTAACCGGCCCACATACCTCAGAACAAAGCACTGCCCAGCCCTGCGCCGGCCTCACACTTGTGCTTACGTTTTACCCCATTGTTGATGCCACTGTGTCAGTCCACCTCGTGCAGGGTCGTCTTCTTCCTCAATGTCCCTCCACTTTACCAAGGGCGATATGCTGTTTCAGGGAATGGTCTCTCTTGACAGCATGTCCAAAGTATGTGAGATGAAGTCTCCCCACCCTTTTGCCTCTTAGGAGCTTTCTGGTTATACTTCTTCTGAGACAGGTTTACTTGTTCTTCTGGCAGCCCATGGGACTGTCAGTATTCTTCACCAGCGCCATAATTCAGATACATCGATTCTTCTTTGATCTCTCTTATTCAACGTCCAACTTTCACATGCATATGAAGCGAACAAAAATACCATGGCTTGGGTCAGGTGCACCTTAGTCCTTGGGAGAGGGGAATCATATTATTACAAGTCTTAGAACCTAGGTGGATGAATTCAGGTGTTATGTGACAGGAAACTGCTGCTAACTTTTGAAAACAGGTGTCACATGAGTGACTGCCGTGCTGGGTTGGCCTGTGAGTCCCTGAAAGGACATGTTGAAGTCCTAACCCTGTCCTGGTGAATGTTGTCCAGTTTGGAAATGGGGTGTGATAGGTAGGTTTATTCTGCCAACCTGGCCAATACGAGCATGTGGGATTAATAAGGTCACAGTTTGATTGGAGGGCAAAGTGATAAATGGCTCAACAAGCCCCGCCTCTCTTTCGCTTGCTCTCTGGTGATCAGACCAGTGTGCGGCTGCCTTAGCTAGTTCTCTGCCTCAACTTGTGAGCTACCCTACCTGTGGGACACCCACCCGGTGGACTGTGTCACTAAAGCTTGAGGTTCCTTTGAGACCTGCTCCACCACATTGCTGATATATACATTGACTGGGGACTGTCAGACCCTGTCATCTGGCTGACTGTTGGAGACCTGCCCTGCTGTTTGCTGCCTGTGGCCGGACTACATGCATTGCTCTATGGAAGACTCAGCTGTCTGCTTCCTTGACCTTATACCCAGCAGCCCTCATGAGTTGAAGTACTTCCAGCATATTAACTGTTTCACGGAAGTGAGTTGAACTGAGCCCTCAGTACTGCTGTGTGGACTAGTAGGCTGTTATATTCCTTCTTGCTGTGTATATCTGTATCTATATGTTTATAAAATCATAATTGTCCTGGTTTTGTTTCTCTAGAGAACCCTGTCTAACCTAATTGGGGATTATGCTCAGGAGGTCCTACTAGAACAGGATGGGTCCTAAGCCAAGTGACGTCTGTGTGTTGTCTCATAGAAAGAGCAGAATGCACATAGGCAGCCACAGAGGAGGAAGGCGGACCATTTCCTGAGACAAGGACGCCCCAGGAACACCCAAGGCAAAGACAAGGAAGACCTGCCCCTAGAGCGAATGCCCTGACAGCTCTAGCCTCCCATACTGTGCGACAATCCACTCTGCTCTTTAAAAGCCACCCACTCGTGGCATCTGTATTATGGGAACACGAGGTAATTCAGACAAGGGTCACGGCATCACCCCTTCTAGATATGAACACCATCAGACCCCCACATGCTCCTGTGCCCACCCTGCTTCTGGAACAGACAGCATGGAGCCTGATGGGAAGAGGTGCCACCAGGCAGGGCAGCTGGACCGCAGAGTGCATTTTCTATTTTGGTTAGGGCAAGTCCTGGGCCTTCCCACTCCAGCTCCCAGAGCCCACTACCCAGACCCAGGCACAGGCCACAGTGGTCATCGGCTCTAGGCTGTGGCCACCCAGCCAGGTATCCACCTGGACCCCTGATTTGCCCACCTACAGCTTGTTGGTTTCCAATAAATGTTTCTGTCATGTAAAATCAGTAAGTTCAGCTCACTATGGTGAGGGTTTCCCTGCATTGCTAACGCAGTATTATAAATCAACACAAATAACTACTCTTCAGCATAGGGTTATCCTCAGCACCCCAGAAGCTTCTACCCCAAAACTCATAAGTAAAATGACCCTCAGGACTTGGCAAAGGAGACAAAAAGGAAAACAAGACCTTGCTGTCTGAGTGGGAAGCATGATGGGAAGCACACTGGGTCTCTGGGGTGTCATGCCAAAGTCAGCTGGGTGGGAGCCTCTGGGTGCTTTTGCCACTTCACCACCAGCACCTATAGCTGTACACTTGTGAGCTACTTGAGCGTCCGCTTACCTCTAGGTTGAAGTTTCCTTACCTCTTTGAAGGGGGACACGAGGCCCCCTCTCGTCGGATTTTTATGAAGATGTACGGAGTTAATGTGTGGAACGTGCTCAGCACTGCCGCTGGTCCTGTCTGATGAAGAGGTGCTCTGGCTGGGACCATCTAAAGTTGTGGAGAAGGCAACAAAGGGTCACAGAATCCCCCTCTGTCCCGTCACATCTGTGCCATCAGAAAGTACCTGAGACGTTCCAGATCGTTACCCAACCTGAGCTGATTTCGGGCTTGGCCAGATTCCCCACGTGAACCTTCTCATTTGGAGCAAGTGAGCGAAGGTTTATAAAGGACCTAAGTGCCAATAACCTCAAAACAACGTCAACGCTTTTTTGGTCTATTTCAACAGACTCCGTTTTCTACTCCTTTAGCTTTTCTCTGCATGTTCTTTGCCCTCTTTCTGAAGAGAAGACTCTGTGGGATGGGATGTCCCTGAAACTGACCAGGAGGAATAATCCTTGGAGAGCTGATTGGGTTGCGAGGTCCCGGGGTCAGGGACCACATCGGTTTTGTGGAGTATTCGATCTAACCTGACATGTACCTCATTCTTTGTATGTCACAGGCCCACAAAAAGAAGGCACATGTGATTATCACAAGCCAAGCGCTCACAGGAGACAAACGCGGAAGGGGGTTGGTAGTTTTCAAAATAAAAATGTGCACGCTGTATGCATAAGAATCTGGTGGGGGAGGGAGAGACAAGCCAACAAACTAAGTTCCAGCTTCCCGGGCGACTTCCTTCATCCACTCCTTGAGTGGTGGCAGTGCCAATTCAAGGGGCAGGTGCAGCGGGCCGAAGACGGCACCTTTGACAGTGGTAGCGTTGCAGTGGAAAGTCGGATGTGCACTCCCATGAGCTACCCCTAGCACCCTTGCTGTGGAGTCAATTCTGTCGTCTCGTGTTACAGAGCAGACCTGCTCCCTGACCCAAAGAACACTCACCGCCATGGAGTTGGTACTGACCCATAGAGACCTTGTAGGACAAGGTAGAACTGCCCCTGTGGGCTTCCGAGACTGTAAGTCTTTACATCAGTGATTCTCAGTCTTCCTAATGCTGCCACCCTTTCCTCACGTTGTGGTGACCCCGTATGTGGACGTATCTGCGTGTGGATGGACCCGCCTGGAGACAGCTAGAGGAGCGTGTCTCAGTTCCTAAGACCATCAGAAATATGGTCTTAGGAGATCTCGGTGAAAGGGTCATTTGACCCCAAAGGGGTCGCGACCCACAGGTTGAGAACCGTTGTTTTGAAGGCTGTGTTAGGCTGGGTGGTCCACAGACACTAACCAGTGATGCGGGTATGTGTTGAATATAGAAAGAGCTTTATATCAAGAAATAGCTTACTGTATATATTCATGTATAAACTGAGTTTTTCAGCACATTTTTAATGCAGTTTTTGTGGTAAAATTAGGTGCCTCAGCTGATATTGGGGTCGGCTTATACTTGAGTATATACAGTATATAGTTGTAGAAATAGGTAAATCCAGTCTGGTACAAGTCAGGTTACCCCTGACATGTGGAAGCTGGAGAGCAGGGAAGCAGAGACAGTAGGGGGCACAGGCTGGTGGGTGCAGAAGTCTGAAGTCAGCCAAATGCATCCACCATCAATCATCAACAGATGGCTCCTGGGATCGGTGGTCCATGCAAACAGAAGCAGGTTGTGAAACCAGACACAAGATCCAGATCCAGCCGGACCCAAAAGGTCAGAGAGAATTTGACCCTGCTAGGTCTCTCTCTCTCTCTTTCTATCTCATATCCAAAGGCTTATGACACCAAAGAGGTGTCACCAGGCTGCAGTGCCATTGATAGGCTGAGCTCTGCTGCAACCCTGACCCAGAAGTGTCTAGTTAATATCATCTCTAACCATCACACAAGAGTAGCAAGCCTCCTCTAACTCCCAAGGAGTGGTTGGTGGTTTCGAACCACTAATACAGTGAACCCTGGTTTATCGCGGTTAATCGGTTCTAGACCCTACCGTGATAAATGAAATTCCGCGAAGTAGGATTCCTTATTTGTAAATCAAATATTTTCG